ACATGAGACATGATGCAGTGGGGCTGGTGGCTGCCTTCACATCCAGCAGCCCCTGATGGATGTGTTCCTATTCTCACTGCTCCCACGGGGACTTGTGGTTCCAAGTCCCGGCAGGTTATGAATGGCCGTGCGGGCTGAGGTCAAGGCCTGTGTTGGTGCTGTCTGGTCCCAGCCACATGCCTGCCGCTCTGTTGGTGGCCTCCTCTCAGCTCCCTTATCGGATGTCACCACCTGCAGAGCTGACTATCACACTCTGAAAGGACAGGGTCCTGGAGTTCCATGTGCTAAGTCACCAATGGAAAGCACCAGAGGGCAGGAGGCCCCTGACCTGTGCGTGACAAGTCCTGGTACCTGAGAGGACAGAGACAGGCAGAGGCACAGCCCAGAGATGGTGGGGACATTGCATTGGGCCAGAAACTATAGGAAAGGAGTGCAGGGGGGAGGGGGCAGCACACGTGGAGAGCAAGAGGACCAGGTATTAGCAGGCTGGACATCTGGGCATCGAAGGAGCCAGCTGACTGACCCACAGGCAGGACAGTGGATGTGGATAATCATAGAGGACCCCTGCCTGCTGTGCCATCAAACATCATGCCACCAGCGGTGATCAAGAGAATAAAGTCTGAATCTGGGACAGGGAGGGAAAGTAGGAACAGTTCCAGGTTCCCTTAGACACGCACTCCTTCGCATCCTCAAACATACCAGCCGATTTCCCCTGTCTCCTCTGTTCTAGGCCCCTGAGTCCTTGAAGAAGATCTCACCTAAGCTGTGCTCTACCGCTAACTTGAGGGGCTCCTCTTCCTGAGCCTGGGTCTCAGACAAAGAGGATGGGGGAGGGAGGGGGATCAGGCAGCTGAGTGGGCAGCTGAGTATGAGAGAAGAGATAGCGTGAAGACCCAGTAAGATCAGTTCCCTGAATTCCCAAGCAGTGTCAGAGTTAGGAGAGGGTCGGAGGGATGCCAGGAACCAGCTCTGTATACCCCCGTGAAGTACTTCCCAGCTTGGAAAAGCCCCAGCCAGTACACTGGCCTCAGGAAGTGAGTAACTGCCTCTCCCTGCCTCCTGGCAACCGGGCAGGCCAGGCAGAGTTAGGAAGTGCAGGACTGACTGATGTTGAGGGAGCCTTCCTACAAGCCACTGATGGCGGCGCCATCCTTAGAGAGACAGGCGTGCATCCTCCTCCCAGAAAAGCAGAGGGGCAGACAGAGGGCAGACAGGCCTTCCAGCAGCCCCTCCCCCAGCTTCCCCCTGCACTGGGAGTTGCTAGGACCTCACTTGTTTTAAGCTTATTCATTTCCAATCCATTCCACAAGCCTAGGCAAGGGGACTAGTGTGTCTCCTCAGCACTGTGGCAAGGGACCCAGGCAAGGGGTCCAGCATATCTCCTCAGCGCCATGGCAAACAGCCTAAAGTGTCTCCTTAGAGCTGAGGCAAAGGGCCCAGCCTATCTCCTCAGCACTGTGGCAAGGGGACCAGTGTATCTACTCGGTGCTGAGGCATCCCCAACCATGAGGTACAACAGCTTCAGGGACAAGACAGACCTGTGTACACATCTCAGTCTCTACATATAGAAAGGTTAGATGTCAGAGCTGGGGTCTGTCTTCCAAGCCCTGGCGAGGAGCCTAATTTTCACTCCTTTCCCCTGGTGTCACCCATCAGCTCGAGTATAACCTATCTTCCTGGAGGATCCTTCTAGGTCTCAACCAGAAGTGGGGGTGCCTGACTCAGGGGGCTCAAAGTGAGTCTGAGGTTGGGGTGCTCTACCCCGACCCACTCTTCCCATCTGCACCAGGACCCGCTTTTAGACTCTGAAAGAAAACATTCCTCCTGTAACATCAATGGCCAGAGACCCCATCACACGCCTCCCACTCAGATGCCTCCCCTACACTGGCTACCCACTTACACCAAGCCCAGCTGTGGAGAGAGAAAGGGAAGCCACAGCCCTGAGTGCCTCTCCTTCCAAGGTGGAAGCCAGTACAGAGCTGGTGGAATGTTCCAAGCTGAGAAGGGGAAAGCAGGTGAACTTGGCCTCGCTGTCACCTCTCAGGGTGCCCTGCTCAGTAAGGAAAACACAGCAAAGGGCTGAGGGGTGAGCTTGATGGGGTAATGGGACACTTGCCTAACATGCATGAGGTCTCAGGTTCGAACTCCAAGAAAGGAAGGAAGAGAAGGAAGAACAGAAAAGGGAGAGCGGGGTGGATAGCTCAGTAGTTCGGGGTACAGCACCCCCCAAACAAGATCCAGAGTTTTATTCTTATCACAGCATCCCATCACTAAGATTGACAGAAACAGGAGAAATTCACAGTGTGCGACAGCATGTGTAACAGGATAAACATACAGTATCACACATGTTGCATAAGAAGCCAGTTATATGTAACACACATATACACATATGTACACAGACTGACACACATACATCAAATTTCTAACTACTCCAAGCAGTGCCCTTTCCAGGGTGCTTAGATTTTTATCTTATGCATGGAACTCAAACAATAGAGAACTACGCACATTAAGTCTACTCTCAGGGTTTGTGTGTGTGCATACATGTAGGCCAGAGGCCAACCTTAGCTGTTATTTTCTAGGCACTTTATTATTTTTCTTTTCTTTTCTTTTTCTTTTTTTTTTTTTTGAGACAAGTTTTTCTCATTGACTTGGAACTCACCAAGTAGGTTAGGCTGGCTGATCGTGTGGAGCCCCAGGAACCGGACTTTCTCCTCCTCCTCAGTGCAGGGATTAAACACAGAAGCCAACACAATACCCACCTTTCTCACATGCATTCTGGGTATCGAACTCTGGTCCTTCCCTTGTGGAGCAAGCACGCTACCCACTGAAAGTTCTCCCAGCCGCAGTTATCAGCTTTTCTCAGTTGCTCCTGAACTTGCAGACAGAGGCGTCAACTGGGGCTCAAGTTGCAGCTGGGCTGTTCACATGTGCAAGATTTGAACAGGTTAAGGAGCCTCTCTCGGCCTCTGTTTCCTCACCAGGCTTCATTCATTGTTGTGAGAAGACCATGGAATCACGTGATCACATGCTTAGAGACAGCATGGTCCAGGGAGTGCCCAGTCCCATGAATAAAGGCCAAATCTGTATCCCATGACGTCCCAGCAAGGCCAGGTAAGAGATCCCTGTTTGGGTATCTGGACCCCAGACTCAGAAAACCAGACAGAGAAGGCAGCGAGGCACATGTGGACTGTGGGAGTGCTGAGTGCCTTGCAAGGTGATAGTGTCTCTGAAAGCTAAGAACCGAAGTCAGGACCAACCTGTGCATGCCACCGAGATGCTTGGTTTTAATGCAACTTGCCACAAGTTAGGATCGCCGCGTAGGAAGTCTCAGGGGAGGAGTGGTCCCAGTTGACATACTTGACATGGGAAGAACCACCCCAAATATGACGTCAGCTACTGGGCAGCCCAGGTTTAAAGGGGTGGGGTGTGGCTGAAGGAAGCTGGTCCTTTGCTTGCTTGGCTTCCTCCTTGCCTCTGGGCTGATTCACCTGTTGCTGCTGATTTCAGAACCAGAGTTTCCAGGCTTCGATAGGACACTGAGTCCTGCAGCTCCTGGGAGCTGTCTGGGTTTTCAGTGCCAGACTGGGACTGCTCAGGTACCAAGCAACTACTGGTTCTCAGCCTCTCAGGTGTGAGAGAGCTGTTCTTACTGTTTCAACATAAACTGTTCAATAAATTCTTATAACACACATACATATGTAGGTAGATACATAGATAGATGATAGATAGATAGATACGTAGATAGACAGAGATGTAGATAGATAAGTAGATAGATGATTGATAGATAATAGATAAGTACATAAATAGACGGTAGTTGGTAAGTAGATAGATAAGTAGATAGAAGATAATAGATAAGTAGATAGATAATAGATGAATGGATAGATTATAGATAAGTAGATAGATAGATAGATAAGTAGATAGATAGATAGATAGATAGATAGATGATAGATAGATAGATAGATAGATAGATAGATAGATAGATAGATAAGTAGATAGATAGATAGATAGATAGATAGATAGATAGATAGATAGATAGATAAGTAGATAGATAGATGACAGATAGGCCAGTGGTAGGTAGCTTTCTGGTCAAGATACAGAATTCTGGACAAAAACACAGGCCAGTTCTGGAAGCTTTGAGGACTTCTTCCTCACCCACCGACACGCAGAGAATGTTCTGGAACACTGTGGCAGAAAGGTGGACATCCACAAATGTGTTGCCATCCTGCTTTGTGCTCTTCTGCTTTACTTGATCTTTCCTTTACCCCAGTTAGGTTGGGTGGGAGGACTCTTCCCTTCTCCAATCCAGGTATGGGGTGCCCCCTCTGTGGGATGATAAGCAGCAGTAAAACATGGGGCTCCCTGCCAAGAAAAAACCCAGAGCTGGTGCAGGACACGCAGGAGTTGGGGAACACAGATGAGACATCATGGGATCTAGACAAGCACATCAGAAGGTGTTCCCAAATAGCCTCCCAGAAAACAGGAGCTGCCATCCAGGGCCCCGGGAGACAGAGACCATATCCAGTGCAAAGGCCCAAAGTTAAACGTGATCCTGCCACACTTGGGAAGCTGAGGGGGCATAAGGGAACCTTTGCATGTTGTGTGAAGGGCCCTGGCTGCGTGGGGTGGCTGTCAGGGCTTCACAGGAACATCTGGCCTCCTCCATTGCCCTCCCTGAATACAGTGCAGGGGCTGAAGGCTGGAGTCCTGCCAGGCTGAGCCTCTCTTCGCAGCCCCCACACAAACACACAGAGTGTTGAGGATGGCACAGGCAGCCGCCTCAGGGAGCGTTCAGAAGAGTTTATAGCCAGATTTGCTCATAGCAAAAGCAAAGTGTAAAAAGTAGACTAAGGGGTTGGGGACTTAGCTCAGTGGTAGAGCGCTTGCCTAGCAAGCGCAAGGCCCTGGGTTCGGTCCTCGGCTCTGGAAAGAAAAAGAAAAAGAAAAAAAAAAGTAGACTAAGCCAGAGAAGAGTGGCTACTGCTTTGAAATGGCTCTCCGACCTTCCTTGCTCTCAGGCAGGCCTGACCTGGTGTGTCCCTGGCTCCTCACTTCTGCCTGCCAGTGTATGTGTAAGATGAACGGGTGGGTAGATGGACTCGTGAAAGTAGGAGAGAAAGATGATGAGGAAGGGAGAAGGGAAGAAAGAGAGAGGAAAGGGACACGGGTATGCAGATGAAGAGGCCCTTGGCAGTGCCGATAAACAGGGGTGTGGGTGTTGTATAAGATTTCTAGACTCATTTGGCAGCTGGACACGGCATGGCTCACTAGATGGACACAGGCATCCAACAAGAGAAGGCGGCTCCCAGGGCCACCACGCTAGGGTTTGCCCCGAGACAGGGTGACAGCAAGCCAGACCTGTAGGGGCACCTCCTGGGCGGCAGGTAGGTGGGGCTAGCTGAGTCTCACACTCCCTGGGGAATTGTCTGAGTGCTCTCAAGATACAGGACTCTGCACAGCTGCTGAGTATCTGGCCCCAAGGGGAAGGGGTGCTGCCCAGCAGAGTGAGAACCCAGGAAGAGAAGCGGTTGGAATGTAAACTGAGCCAGCCACTCCAGACCCTCCAGCATCCAGCCAGGACTACAGAATGGGGACAAGACAGTGGGCCTTTGGGGGTTTTGTTCTTGGTTTTGAGTCTGGGTCTCACTATGTACAGCCAGCCAGACCTCTAACTCCAAACCCTACAGCCTCAGCCCTGTGGGTCACCAGCTCAGCTTTTCTCTGCCTGTTCTACGAAGCTTGTGGATGAGGCCAGGCGGGTGATGGCACATGCCTTAAATCCTAGCACTTAGGAGGCAGAGGTGAGTCCAAGTCCAGCCTGGTCTACAAAGTTCTAGGACAGCCAAGGCTACACAAAGAAACCCTGTCTCAAAAACAAAAGACAAAGAACAACAAAACAAAGCTCGAGGATGGACCCCTTCCCTTGTGATCCTTCAGGGATGTGGTGGGGGTTGTGGTCTTCCCTGAAGGAGTGGGTAGACACACAGCTTCTGCATCCAGCTTTAGCCAACCCGCAGACTCGCCCACCTAGGTGGACCAGAAGCCCTGGGTCACGGGAGCTCCCTGCGGTCAGACAGGCTAGAGGTGCAGATGAGGCAATCCAAAGCCAAGCCAGGGCGAGATCCCAGGCTGATCCACAGCCTTTCTTGGATTCAGCTCCGGCCCCCATCCCTATGGTGACATTTGACACCCTCAATATGAGAGCTTGATTGAGAGATATTCAGGGGCAGGGAGACAGCAGCTGGGGCTCTGTGTGGATTCCTGGAGCCTTGGGCTCACTCTTGACTAGTCTGTGACCTCCCCTGCACCCTCCGCTCCTCTGATCCGGAGAGTAAAGCACTGTAGGTCTTTAGCAGATTTTCGAAGGAAATGAATATGACCAGAGAGCTTGGAAGTGGAGGAAGAAACAGCTTCTAAATTCCCCAAAGGAATTCAGCGTCTGGCAGGGGCCCACACAGCTCACCCAGGACTTGGCCAACAGTGTGTCCCTTCTCTGGGATGTACGCTAGTTTCTGCCACAGCACCCTTGGGAGGTGTGCATAGAAAAACCAAAACACTTTCAGAACTCCCCCGGCCAACTGGGTGCCTTCGGCTTACACCCTCTATGTAAATGCCCACTGTTTGCACCTAAAACTCAGGAGCAAAACAACCACCTCGGGAGCCTCAGTCATGGCAAGCAGTGTTATGTTAAACACGGGCATTCACGTGGTCCTCCAGGAGCCATTCTAGCAGCAGGGAAAACATTTGCCACGCCGGGCTCCCCGGGGGGCAGTCTGCACAAACGGAAGGCTACCTGTGGCCATCCCAATTTAGCCTCCGCAGCTAGGAGTCCAAAACCCTCACAGCGGAGAACTGCTGCTGATCCCGGGGGCTGGGAGCTTGAGCTGGGCCAGAGGTGGAGGGAGGAGTGCCCAGGAGAGTGATGACATCACCGGCCAGCCCTTGAAAGATGAGCTGCTCCCCGTGCCACTCCAGCTCAGCTCCTCAGGAGACTGGGGAGGACTGTTGGGGACCGCTCGACAGGCAGTCGCTGGACCTGGACCGAGGGACTCACTTAGAACGCAGACACGGCTTGCTTCAGAAAAGGTGAGTGTCCGGCAAGAGCTCGTCCACGGAGAGCACAAATGTCTCAGCACAGAGAGGTCCTGGCCAGAAGCTGGGACCAGCCCCAGGCTCCCAGGGGTTCTGTGGTCCTGAGAAGTTGGAGCAAGGCTCCCTTCCTCCCCTAGGTCTGACAAATGGCTGGAGGAAGGGTTGTAGTTACTTATACAGGAGGATTTGCCCTGTTGGTTTCAGCTCATCACCTCTCCCCCCGCCGCCGCCGCCACCACCACGAGTGACCGGTGATTTGAGTTTTATAGGCTCCATGTGGACACAGTGGGCTAAGGCAGGAAGCAGTGAGTGCCAGGCAATGGCGGGACAGGTGTCGTGAGAGTCTGATTCTTTACTCACTGAGCCACTGATGAGCTCAGAAGACTCTGCAATGTCTGAGTTCTGCTTTCTCCGTCTGTAAGGCGTGCTCAGCTGCTCCTTGGAGCAGAGGTTAAGACAGCAAAGAGACTTTGTCTCCCCTGGCTGATGTGGCCCGTCTGTGTCAGCGGCGGCAGCTTTAATCCACTCCAGTCCTGGTCCTTCTTCAAGGTGGTGGCTATGAGTGAGCTTGGTGTGCTGTCTCGGGTTCGAGTCTCGGCTCCTCTTTCATCCCCTGGGTGACATTGTTGGTGAGAGTTTTGTGTCGCAGGGCCAGGGACCCAAAGAAGACTCAGTGACCCCTTTTAAGGCAGAGACAGAAGTGTGGCCCTCCTGGGACATACCCCCATTTGTGGTCTTCAGCTCCGATTGCTGGGTTGGTAGCTCCGTGGCCTGTGTGGGGTGGCAGCGGTGATGCTCACGGGTTAGGCAGGTTAGAATGTGCCTTCCTGAGTCACAAGCTGCCTGTGGCTCTCTCAAACAGTCCACAGGAAGCAGGAGCTCTGGCTGGGTGTGGGTGCGGTGCCTTGCCTCTCTGACACAGAAGGGCTTGTAGGGGATCTGATGCCCCTGCTCTGTGCCCGCAACAACAGTGAGGATGATGGGAACACTCCACAGTTCTGAGACTCAGGGACTTAGAGTTTGCTGTTTTCCTCCACTTGGATAGGGTTAGGGACAAGCAGGGGAGGAGGGTTGGAGAGAATATTAAAAATGGAAAAGCACGTGCCCTTGCCTGGCAGGGCACCCTAGGAGCGTATGCCAGCTCTACCCTGAGCTTCTGCACTGCAGCTTGGTGTATTAAAAAGGCCCCTGTCGTTGTCGTCATGCACTTCGAGGAGCCCAGCACCGATGGGGAAACTGAGTCTGGAGGAGGCAACAACCTCACCCGCGTCCTTTGCGCATTGCCCAGGGAATCCCATAACCATAGGACTCAGGCTCCGTCAGCTTTAAATAAGGGAAAGATGGAATGATTGGCTGAGCCAGTGTGAGGACACTGCTCTACAGGGAATTCATCCGATGACAAGCAAAGGGGACCGGGCCCAGAATAACTGGGCCGCGTGACCTCTGTTACCACGTGACGGGATGGGCAAAAAATTTCAGGGTGTCTGAGAGTGACATTAGGGTTGCCCCTCTCTGCTGTGCGGCTGTGGTCAGGAAGGGACCACGTGGGGCAAGGGAGAGTCCTGCAGATTGCCAGGGAGCCTGGGCTTCCAGAAAGACGGTGGGAACTGCACCTCTATATCTATCTGCTCATGGGCTGTATAATTCGCTTGAGAACCATTGGATGGATGGATGGATGGATGGATACACAGTGGTCACAGAGAAGGCCCCAAGAGCACACAGCTTGTTACTAAGTTAAGGAGCTGGTTTGGAAAGGTAACGCTATGAGCATCTCCCTGTGACATTCTGGAGAAAGATAAAATACAGGAGGGACAGGCAGGGGTTAGATGGGAACTCTGTGTTTTCCCCTTAAGTGTTCTGTGAACCTACATCTGTTCTTAGGTAAAGCTCACAGATCAGGTGAGTTTGTGTGTCCCTTTAAGAAGTTCAAGGCCGGGTAGGTGGTGGTGATACAGGCCTTTAATCCCAACACTCAAGAGATAGAGGCAGGCAGATCTATGTGAGTTCAAGGCCAACATGGTCTATAGAGCAAGTTCCAGGACAGCCAGGGCTACACAGAGAAAACCTGTCTCAAAAAGCAAAGGCAAAAAGAAAAGAAAAGAAAAAAGCCAAATGTCACAAGTTAAAGGATCAGAAACCACTGACACCTGAGTCCCCGAGTGACCACTTCTAACATGTGCTCCTTGATTCGTGAACCCCCAACCCGTAAGCAATGGTCTTAGTGCGCGTGCTGCCTGGACCAGAGAGCTGCCCGTTGCCCATGACCTGGTCCATCTCAGGAGGGCTGTAAGGCTAACAGTCCCCTTCTCGAGTGGAGGTGACCAGCGTCCTCAGAGCACGGCTCCATTTACTATTGTGAGGGTCTGCAGTGGTCAGCTCTGCTTGGCCTCTGTAGGTGGGATGTCCACAGCCCTTCATCTGCCCTCTATGAAAGGGGTTGAATGGCAGGCTTTCCTGGTTTTCTGAGGAGCCTACACCCCAAACACACACCCAGGGCTGCATTCCAGGGCAAACTGAAGAATCCATCGGTCTCTGGTCCTGTCACCATGGGGAGGTTTCTGAGACTCTGGAGGCCAGAACACTGGGATCCCAGAACCCCCTCACATTGTCCGAGGCCAGAGTGAGGTGAAACAAACAAGACCTGGGGGCCAGTTCTCAGTGGTGTCGTTCACTGAGGGAGGCTTTCTCGGTCTCTGCTCGCTTCCCTGTGATGGGGACAGTCGTCCATTTCAGAGGAGGCCTGCGAAGCCCCTTAGAGTACAGACTAGATGGATGCCCTGAGTATGAGACCCCTCCCCCTCCTCTCCCTTCTCCCCCTCCTCTCCCTTCCTGTCCTCCCCCCCACCCCTCTCCTCTCCTCCCCTCCCCTCCCTTCCCCTCGACTCTCCTCCTCTCCCTTCCTCTCTCCTCTCCTCTCCTCCCTTCTTCCGAAGCTAAACTAGAACTGAATCCCTCTTTCCCCCACCACGTGGCCAATTCAGCTCTCTGAGCCTTGGCCCCTTCAGCTATAAATAGTAACTGAATCAGAAACTACCTAAAAATTCAAATTGGAACTCCTGAGAGTCCTGGTGTGTGAAGGGACATCCCTGCTCTCCCAGGGCAGGGCCACTGGGAGGACAGTCACAAAGAAGGTGAGGGAAAGACACAGGCAGGAACACCACCAAAGCACAGCCAGCGGGCAGTGGCTTCTGGAGCAACATACCATGAATTGTAAAGTGCTATTGGAGCGTGAGGTCCCACACACACACACACCCCAAAAATGTTAGCTTGAAAGATGCACATCCATTGCTCTGATTTGATTGTTATGCGTAGGCTGCATACGATCAGTCACTGCAATGTATTCCGTAAAGAAGCACTCATATCTCAATTAAAAAAAAAAAAATGAGGGTCAGGGATGTACCTCAGAGCACCTGCCTGGTAGGGGTGAGGTCCTGGATTTCTTTTCTGGCACCTCAAAAAACGAGGTGGTGCGGCGGTTAGGTTTTTTGTTTTTTGTTTGTTTGTTTGTTTTTGTTTGGTTGTTTGTTTGTTTTTGACAACTTGATACAAGCTGCAGTTTTCAGAAAAGAGGGAACCTCAATTAAGAAAATGCCCCCCAAAAACTGGCCTGTAGTCAAGCCTGTGGTTCATTTTGTTAATTAAATGATGGGGAATGGCCAGCCCCTGTGGTCAGTGCCCTCCCTGGGCAAGTGGTCCTGGGTTGTATAAGAAAGCAAACTGAGCAAGTCAGGAGAAGCAAGCCAGTCAGCAGCACCCCTCCATGGTTCCTGCCTCCAGGTTCCTGCCTCGAGTTCCTGCCTCGAGTTCCTGCCTTGGAACTGTGTTCCTCCACGGACTGTGTGCCAGGATATGTAAGCAAAATAAACCCTTCCCCCCCCAGGCTGCTTTAGGTCATGACATTTCTCACAGCAACAGACAGCAAGCTGAGAGGGCTGGGTTGCTCGATTGGTGCATACAGAGGTGAGGACAGTGTAACTGGGAGTCTCCGTGTGTGTCCTTACACATGGACAGGGGCATCTCCCGTGAAAGTCAGGAGGCATCTGAAAAGAGAAAGGATGGGATGCCAAGAGACAGGCTGCTCGCCTTCAGGGAGGGCATAACAGGGCTGGATCAGGCCCGGAGGGAGGCTGAGGGTCACCGCACTTCCTTCTTCACTCTCTGAAGCTCTTACAGACATGCGGGTCCCTTTGCAGAAACTTAAATGAGAACTTAAATCTTAGAAGCAAAGCAAACAGGACTAGATAGAAGACAAGCTTCATGGTGGCTGACACCAGGAATCCCAGCCCTCAGAAAGCTGGGGCAGGAGGATTGCCCCAAGTAAGGGGCCATCCTGTGCAACCTTGTGAGTTCTATATCAGAAACCTAGGCTTGCTTATATCTCTCCAGGTATAACAAGGTCTAAAAAGGTGGGGTGGGCGACTCACACACCTTCGCCTGTACCCAGGAGCCAACACCACAGAAGGACAACGGGGTCGGGGGTGGGGCTTGAGGGTGGTAGGACAACCAGCCTTGGATCTTCAGAGTCCTGCTGGACTGTGTAGGAAAATGTATTCACTGAGCACCTACTATGTGGTGCGTGGCTCTGTGCTGAGCCCTGGTTGGGACTGGGGAGGGGGTTTTTGAAACCACTTCTACTAAAAGCAGACTCAGATACATGGGGATCCTTGAAACAGCCACTGCTCACACAGACTCAGATCCCAACGAGGGATTTGTTTTCCAGGGCGGGGGGGGGGGGGCGGGGGGGGGCGGGAGGGAGGGGAAGAAACTTCTTGATTAAGTATCCCAGCCAAATAGGAAGTTCATCACATTAAATGATTTAAGAAAGAGGACAACATTATAGAAAAGTTGATTACGATCAGTGGAGCCTTCCGATTAAAGCCCAAGCTATGGCTCTGAAGTTGGTTGGAACTTGACTAGGATGCTTAATAAATGTTTGGAACGGATGCTCAGAAAAGATAAACAGTTTGTAACTGCTGGGGACTAAATCTCATGTT